AGGAGGAGGAGGTGGAGTGGATTTCTTGGGTGGAGTGGGAGGTCGGAGGGGAGGAGGAGGAGGAGGAGGAGGAGGAGGAGAGCAGGAGGAGAGGGTTGGTTGATGGATCAGGAGGAGGAGGAGGAGGAGGAGGAGGAGGAGGAGGAGGAGGAGGAGGGAGAGGAGGAGGGGTGGATCAGGAGGAGGAGGAGGAGGAGGAGGAGGAGGAGGAAAAGGATGAGGAGGAGCAGGAGGAGCAGGAGGAGGTGGAGGACGAGCAAGGGTTACCCTGGATCTGGCAGGGCGACCTGCAAATCAGACTCGACTGTATGCAGAAGGGGCCTGTGGACCACCAACGTTCCCAGCAAGGGCCCTAGCATTGGCGTGCACGCTCTCCTGGCCGAGGACCAGCTCTTCGTCGCGAGAGTCGTTCTCTGTGACAGCCCCAGATGCAAGGCGAGGGCCCCCCCCCCTGCTGACAGAAAGAAGGCGGAAGGGCAGCGACTTCTCGTCGTGACCTTTTCGCAGCGAGAGAATCCATACGTCTGATGTCTTGATTTCTCACAGACGCGGGTCCCCGGAAATCCCGACCCTCGCAGCTTCCGTAGTGAGTCGTTTCCGTTGGCGGTCCCGGGGCCCGACGAGGGCCCCAGGAAGCCGCCAGCGACGCATGACTCCTCCGACGAGTGGTGGTGCAGCTGCCTTCCGCGGATGCCTGGTGGCCTCGCGCCGCCGCGCTGCGCGCTGCGCATGGCTCGGCTCATCCCCCTTTGCGCCCTCGCGCCTGCCCCCCCCCCCCCCGGGAAGGACCGCCCCGGGCCCGCACCGCGAGGCGCCCAGGGGCTGGCGGCGAGGGCCCTCTCGCGCCCCCCAGAGAGAGGCCGGCCGACCGAGAGCCCCCCCGCCCCGCCCGCCCCCCCGCCGCGGGGGCGACGGACACGCCACGACGAGGGGAGTCCTCTCTTTACTTTGCGCTGGAGCACCGCTGGCTTGCGTGAGCCGTCGCGTCTTGATCGTCGCGGTCCGACGAGAGAACAAAAATAGGAATGCAGCGCGCCATCAACCTGAGAATTCAAGGACCAGTGCTTGCACGCTGGGAAGTGGGCGGGCGAAGAACATTGGGCAGGAAGAGAAGCCTTCTGAGGGCACAGCGCAATGCGCAACGGACAAAGTCCTCCTCCACCCCCTTTTCCCCCTCCTCCTCCTCCTCCTCCTCCTCCGCCTCCTCCTCCTCCTCCCCCTCCTCCTCCTCCCCCGCCTCCTCCCCCGCCTCCTCGTTCTCCTCCTCCTCCTCCTCCTCCTCCTCCTCCTCCTCCTGGGCTCGTCAGGGGCGAGGCGGCAGGAGCGGGTGGCCTCCTCCTCCCTACCCCTGCCCTTCCCGCTCCTGTGCCTCATCTCCTCTCCTCCGCTCCACCCGCCGCCCCCCCTTCTTGACCAAGCCACGGGAGCGAGCGCTCGCGGCGTCGGACCGACCCCTCCTCCTCCTCCTCCTCCTCCTCCTCCTCCTCCTCCTCCTCCTCCTCCTCCTCTTCCCTCCGCCCCTCTCCCCAGGCCCCCGACGCCATGCTCTTCGGCAACGTGGGCCTCCGGAGGTCCGGACCTTCTCCCCGTGACCGGCCCTTCGTCCCGAGCCGTTCCCTCGAGGGCTTCCCCTGAAATCCGAAGCCGCGAACAAATGGCAAACATCGCGAAGAATTGCGACCTGAGCCCCGGACCCCATTTGTCTGAAACCTTTTTCCGAACGAGGTCGATCCGTGATGGTCCCGGAGCCCGGAACCGAGCGAGAACGCCCCCAGGTGCGACAGAATTGCGATGCCCGGAGCTCAAAGCGCAGGCTCTCCTCCAGATCCCCTCGCACCCTGACGATGGGGGTGGTTTGGGCAGTTTTCGGCTGTGTGCACTCTGCGCCCCGATCGCTCCTATGGCCCAAGCTCATCTTCTAGCTCCTGTGCTGCCCCGGTCGGCTTTCGTGCCTGGGCCACAGCGTGGCCCCGGGGAGGGCCGGCCGGGGCATCAGCACTGCGATGTTTCGCGATCTGTTCGCGACGTCGGATCTCAGGGACGCCCTAGCTGGTGCAACGGGCCTCGGCCCTGCAGGGGGCGAGGAAAGCAACGACGAGACGATGAGGATGAAGCCCGCGCGACCTCGATTAGGGCTCGTCTTCCTTCGAGGGCAGCTCGAGCGCAAAGCATCGATTGGCATTGCCTTGAACTGTTTGGCGTCGATGCTTGGCATTGCTTGGCATGGCCTGCCATTGCTTATAATCGCTGCTGGGCATTGCTTGGCATAGCTGAGCATGAAGTGGCGTTGCGTGGCATTGCTTGGCGGTGCTAGGCGTTGTTTGGCGTTGCTTGGCATATCTGGGCATCGCGTGGCGTTGCTCGCCATTGCTTGGCATTGCTTGACCTTGCCTGGCATCACTTGGCGGTGCGTGGCAATGCTTGGCATTGCTTGGCATCGGCGTTGCATTTGCTTGGCTCTTGAGGTTGCTTGGAACTGCTTGGCATGCCTTGGCATGGGCTTTGCATTGCTGGGCACTGCTTGGCATTGCTTGGCTTTGCATGGCACTGCTTTGCGTTGCTTGCCATTGCCTGGCGTTGCGTGGCACTGCTTGGCGTTGCTTAGCGTTGCTTGACATTGCTTGGCACTGCATGGTATTGCTTGACATTTCTGGGCATATATTGGCATTGCGTGGTGCTGCTTGGCAATGCTTGGATCTGCTTGGCATTTCTTGGTCTTGCTTGGCATTGCTTGGCATGGCTTGGCGTCGCTTGGTCATGCTTGGCATTGCTTGGCATTGCATGGCATAGCTGGGCATTGCTTGACGTTGCTTAGCATTGCTCGGCGTTGTACTGCTTGGCGTTGCTTGGCTATGCTGGGCATTGAGTGTGGTTGCTTCTTGGATTTGCTTGGCGTTGCTTGGCGTTGCTTGGCGTTGCTGGGCATTGCTTAGCGTTGCTTGGCGTTGTCTAGCGTTGCTGGGCCTTGCTTAGCGTTGCTTGGTGTTGTCTGGCGTTGCTTGACGCTGCTTGGCACAGCTGAGCAGTAGGTGGCGTTGCTTGTCATTCCTTGTCGATCTGGGCATTGCTTGGCGTTGCTTGGCGGTGCTGGGCAGTACCAGGCGTTGCTTCTTGGCGTTGCATGGCATTGCTGGGTACTCTTGGCATTGCTTGGCCCTGCTCTGCATTGCCTGCAATTGCGTGGCAGTGCTTGACATTGCTTGCGCGTTGCTTGGCCCTGCTTGGAACTGCTTGGTGCTGCCACGAGCAGCGCCGAGGAACCCGGGGCAAGAGCCCCTGGGGCTGAAGAAGCCCGAGGCACCCCGAGGATCCCAGGGCAACGCCGAGGGCAACCTCCGACGAAGGGCCCTGTACCCACAAGCTTCTTTCACGAGCAAATGAAGTCAACCCGTACCATAAGGATGTACGATCAGGATGCAGGGGCCTTGGAACGCCATGCCGACACTCTTCGAGCGGGGCGCGGCCCGCGAAGGTGGCCCAGAAGGGATCGAAGGGGAAGGATGCAAGAGCATCCTTGGGAAAATCGCCCATCCTTGGTTTGCGCGTTGACCGTGCTCAAGCACCCTTTGCGCAAAACCTATTTTTGAGCAAAGCCCGGCCTTCCCCGACTCCCCCACCCCCCCTCCCTGTGGATCCCAACGTCGGCGCGGTGGCAGTGAGTGCGGTGGCCTCGAGATCCTCCAGAAAAGACCTTGCCGCACGGTAAGCCACCGCCCGCACGGATCGGGGGGACCCTTGTTGGGGGAGCCTGGGCGCCCGAGACGCACTCGGAGGACGACCCCGAGTCTCAAAACGACACACCGCCCTCGAGGCACCCTTGGCGACCATCGCCCCCCCCCCTCCCCCCGTCTGAGGAGGAGCGGAGGGAACGAGCAGGGTGGACTGGCTCAGGGGGCGGGGGACTTCGACCTGGAACCGGGCATGCACCACAGTAGATCGGCGATAAGCCCCCAGTAGCAAGACCGCATGCTCCTGGTCGCGGCGGTCAGCAGGTTTCTGTCGGCGATGCGCGGGCGTTTTTTTGTGGGTCGATGCGTTCCCCCTAAGCCTATCGCTCCCAAACGTTGCCCCTTGGTTTTGGGTTAAAGCTCGGCTCTCCGGCGGCACTTACGGACGATCCAGGCACCCCAGGAATGTTCTCGGCGAGGCGCAGCTGCTGGAGAGCATCCCGACGCTGGAAAACCACCGAGAATGAGCGAAAACATCCGAACACCTGCCTACCTCTGAGCGCATCCCTATACCTCTCTCCTCCTCCTCCTCCTCCTCCTCCTCCTGCTCGTCCTGCTCGTCCTCCTCCTCCTCCTCCTTCCTCCTCCTCCTCCTCCTCCTCCTCCTCCTCCGTCATCTCCTCCTCCACCTCCTCCTCCTCCGCCTCCTCCTCCTCCGCCTCATCCTCCTTCTCCTTTCCTCCCTCGGTGCCGGGTCGGGGGGAGGAAGACGCCTTGATCAATGCTTTTCCATACGGGGTCCCCAGGAGCCTTTCCCCGGGGCCCACTTTTCGTCCTGGGTTGTTTCTTTCCACCGCTCCGCAAGCCTGTGGGGGCCCCTGGAGGCCGACGACAAGGCCGAGCACCTCTGGTCGCGGTGTTTTCGCGACGCGAGGGGGTCTTGGGACGCGCAATGACATACTACTACGGTTCCGATGGTTTTGCGATGGAAGGCGTGACGCTCCCTTACCAAAAATCCATCGATGTCCTGGGGTCTCAGGGTTGGGATTCTTGTGGATGGCCTTGTGGTCGAGCTCCTACTGTAGTCTGGGACGGCCAAGGGGCGTCCAAGAGGGGGGGGTGCAAATCATGACCGGCGGCATTTGCGCGGCCCAGGTGGGGTGCTGGGGACGTAATAAAATCAGAAGAAGCGCCATGAAATCTGGGAGATATCATGGCCCACGCCAGGATATCCACCCCCCCTAGTCATCACCCCCCTCTTTGCCGCCCCCGATGTAGTATGCATGGGTGACGCCGAGGTCTCGGGAGGATGCTGCCGCCGAGGCCCGGCTGCCTGGCGCCGGCGTCGAGGAGGCGGCACGCCGCCAGCGTGTTGTTGCGGGCGCGGGCGACGTCCAGGGGCGTCGACCCGTCCCACGAGTCCTCGGCGCCAGGGCCAGGACCACTCCCGAGATGGGGACGCAGAAGACCATACTTTAACGCTGTGTGTCCTCTTCGGAGGCGTGCGTCCGACCCGGACATGTAGTAGAACCATCCTGCAGGTGACTGCTTTCCGAGCCGCACGGCCAAAAAGCACCCGCCACGACGCACCTGCTGTAAGATTTCTAGGTGCGCGCGCCGCCCCTGGGGGGCGACGCAAACATGGTATTAGTATACTGCGGCACCGTCCCCAAATCTCTGACGAGGCGCAGTCTTGAGTCCCACATTCTTCCCTCGGTTCCCGGACCTCGGGGGTGAAGGGGCCCTGGGACACACAAATAAATACACACAAATAAAAATATTCCCCAGATGTTCCAATATTTGGGTTTTTTTTTGTCTTCCCCCCCCTTCCCATATTTTCCCATATTTTCTTGTGAATCGACGATTAATTATGTCTGTGTGTTTCTTTCCCTCCTGAGGGGGCCCGTGATCGGGCCTGGGGACCCTCCAAAAGGGATCTGAGCTGCAGGGCCACCCCCGCAGAAGGGGCTGGGGGACCTGCCTGGGGCCCAGGGGGGGATGGGGGAGGGGAGAGGAGAAAGAGGGACTGAGGGGGAGGATTGGGGAAGGAGAGGGGGCTGGATGAGGTGGACGAGGGGGACTGAGGGGTGGACAAGAAAGAGGGGGAGCGCTGGAGGAGGAGGAGGAGGGGGAGGAGCAGGAGCAGGAGGAGGAGCAGGTGGCGCAGGGCCCCTGGCCGTGCGTCCGTCTGCTCCGCCTCCCAGTTCCTTCTGGCCTTCTCCTCCCTCCTCCCTCCTCTCCCCCTTGCCCTCCCAGCTGCTCTCGCCAGCTGCGCAGGCTCGGGCACGCGGTGGCGGAAGCGGCCGGCGGGTCTTGCCGTGTGTCGTTGGCGCCACCCGCCTCTGCCCGAGTCGGTTCTGCTCCAGGTCAAAACCGCCTCGCACCCTGCTGCTGCTTGCTGGCCCGCCTCTGTCCTCTCCCTTCCTTTCTGCTGCAGGAGGAGGAGGCGGAGGAGGAGGAGGAGGAGGAGGAGGAGGAGGAGGAGGAGGAGGGGGAGGAGGAGGGGGAGGAGGAGGAGGAGGGGGAGGAGGAGGACAATAGTTCAGAAAGAACGAGGAGGAAGCAGGGAAGGACGAGGAGGATGCAGGGATAGAGAAGGGGAACCGAGAGAGGAAGCTGGATTGGCCTGCCTCCAACGAGCCATACCCGAGAGGATGAAAAGTGAGCGTCGGCAGAACGAATCGGCCACGCAGCCAAAACTGAAGGGGCCCTGGGACACACAAATAAATACACACAATTAAAAATATTGCCCATATGTTTCCCATATGTACCTGGTTTTTGTCTTCCCCCCACTTCCCATATGTTCCTATATTTTCCTGGGAATCGACGATTCATTGTGTCTGTGCGTTTTCTCCCTCCTGAATAACATGGAGCACGTCCTCACTAGCAGTGCCATCAACAACACAGTCGTCAAACCTCAACATCATCACCGTCACCGTACGGCTTGCAGTGCGAGGCCGCACTCGGATCCACGGGATGCAACTTCGCCCCTCGTCGAGCATACGAGTCGGCGCGCGCACTCACTGCCGAAATCGCCCAAGCCGCCCGGGCAGGCGGCGTGACATCGAGATGACCGATCACCATATACACACACATGCTAACTCGTACGGGGTATCACGGGCTTTGACGTGCAAGCGCCGCCCAATATCGGTGTGGGAGCTGGGGACAGCCCGAAACAGAATGGCATCCAGGGGCCGACCATGTATCAACAACCCACTGAAAGTCGTCAACGCGCTGTGACCTCCGTGTGGATCAGGCGCAGCATGGAGCAAATACGAGCTGTATAAAGTCGGCACGCAGGCCCGTATCTCACGACTTCGCAGCCTCCTGCCGAAATGAAGACGAAATTCGCCGCCGTGGCCGGAGGCGAACGTGGAACAGTGTCCGTCGATACGAAAGTGGAAGCGTGCTGGCAGAAAGTCTGAATCGCCTACCGCTGTTGCTTCAACGTCATGTGGGCGCCTACGTTAAACACCTGAGCCAAACCGTGTGCGCGGTGCCCTCAATTATGCCTCCGCTCATTTGAGAGCTACCGTGATCCTCGAGCTCTTCTCTGGGCACGGCGGTTTTGCTCGTGCTGCTGGTGTCATTGATTTTTGAATCCTTGTCTGGGACCTGTCGCTTGGAGACCAGTGCAACTTGACCCGAGTGGAGAATGGATCAAAAATAATCTCTTGGTCTCAGATAGGACTACTGCTAGGCTGGCACGCTGGCGTCCCGTGCAACACTCTCACGCGTGCCAGAGGTCATGGAATCGGCCCTCCGGCTGTGCGTTCGGACGAGCGCCTCTTGAGGCTCTCAGACCTCTCTTTTAAACTGCAGGCCCAATTTGAAGCGTCTAACTATCTCATCATGTTCGTTGCACGCTTCGCACAATCTTGGTTGGAACTCCAGGTCCCTTGGCCGGTGGAGAAAACCCTACGACTTCCAGGCTGTGGTTTCTCCCTGATTTCAAGCGTCTCGCGAGACGTCGGGCCGTCCAATTCGTCATCACTTCCATGTGTAGGCGGGGTTCCTTGTGGCGCAAGGATACGGGCCTCCCCGTGGGCTTGCTCAACCCTGCCCCCTTTCAACAAGATTTCTGTAAAGGTTCGAAGCGCAGGAGCTGTGCCCGCCACAAATACTGCTGCTGTCTACCCCCCGAGCTTCTGCAAGGCGCTTGCGCGCTTGTTTTATACCATTCTCACGTTGCCAAGATTGCAGCCTCATTCGAGAGCTACTGTGAATTTCTCGGCGATGCCGGCTTGGTTGCAACTCTAGCTGCGTTGCCCGCACTGCGAATGCGATTTCAACCTGGTGATTCTCGGCGGTGGATCCCGCCCACGATGTACACGAGCTTTGGGGCACCTGACCGCTAGCAAAAAAAAAACTAACGATTGTTTTGCTTGCAGGGTACTCACGTTGCGACTCTCGCCGCCGCTCGGTGGCTTCAGGCGCACCTCCATCCTTCCCCTCCTCCTCCTCCTCCTCATTTCCTGTCTCCTTTCTTCTTGGCATTGTTAATGTGGTATGGGCCCTGGCGTTTTCTCGGCGGTGGATCCCGCCCTCGATGCATGCGAGCTCTCACCACCTGACCGCTGGAAAGAGCATCTAATGAAATTGCCATTTGATCAATGCCAACGGCGTGACGTCCCGGTGCAACCCACAAGGAAGCCAAACTGAAGCTCAATCCAGGGGGATGTCGAAGCTTCTACGATGGAGAATGACGAGTGTGAGGTGCAGGGGAAAGAGAATGGTGAGAAGGGGGAGACAGCGGAGGACAGATGAGCAGGAATATGCTTCCAGGGGATGCGGGGTAGTGCCAAAGAAAGAGGCAGTAGCAGTGGTAGTAGTGAAAGTAGTAGTAGTAGTAGTAGTAGTAGTAGTAGTAGTAGTAGTAGTAGTAGTAGTAGTAGTAGTAGTAGTAGTAGTAGTAGTAGTAGTAGTAGTAGTAGTAGTAGTAGTAGTAGTAGTAGTAGTAGTAGTAGTAGTAGTAGTAGTAGTAGTAGTAGTAGTAGTAGTAGTAGTAGTAGTAGTAGTAGTAGTAGTAGTAGTAGTAGTAGTAGTAGTAGTAAAAGTATACATAGTAGAAGTAGTAGCGATAGTAGTAGAAGTACCCGTATTGATCATTACTAGTAGCAGCAACAGCACAAAAGAGCAATAGTAGTAGTAGTAGTAGTAGTAGTAGTAGTAATAGTAGTAGTAGTAGTAGTCGTAATAGTCGTAGTAGTCGTCGTCGTAGTCGTAGTCGTAGTCGTAGTAGTAGTACTAGTAGTAGTAGTAGTAGTAGTAGTAGTAGCAGTAGTAGTAGTAGTGGTAGTAGAAGAAGTAGTAGCAGTAGTAGTAGTAGTAGCAGTAGTAGTAGTAGTCGTAGTAGTAGCAGTAGTAGTAGTAGTACGAGTAGTAGAAGCGACAGTAGTAGTAGTACTAGTAGTAGTAGTAGTAGTAGTAGTAGTAGTAGTAGTAGTCGTAGTAGTAGTAGTAGTAGTAGTAGTAGTAGTCGTAGTAGTAGTGTCAATAGTAGTAGTAGTCGTAGTAGTTGTAGTTGTATTAGTAGTAGTAGTAATACTAGTCGTTGCATTGTTCGTAGTGGTCGTAAAAGTAGTAGTAGTAGTGGTAGTAGTAGTAGTAGTAGTAGTAGTAGTCATAGTAACAGTAGTAGTAGTAGTAGTAGACGTAGTAATCGTAGTGCCAGTAGTAATGGTAGTAGTAGTACTAGTAGTACGACTCGTAGTCGTAGTAGTAGTAGTAGTAGTAGTAGTAGTAGCAGTAGTAGTAGTACGAGCATAAGCAGTAGTGGTACTAATCGTAGCGGCGGTGGTGGTGGTGGTAATGGTAGGAGTAGTAACAGCAGTAGTCGTAGGCGTAGTAGTAGTAGTAGTAGTGGTAGTGGTCGTAGTAGTGGTAGCAGTGGTAGCCATCGCCGTCGCAGTAGTAGTCGTAGTCGTAGTAGTAGTAGTAGTAGTAGTAGTAGTAGTAGTAGCAGTAGTAGTAGTAGTAGTAGTAGTAGCAGTAGTAGTAGCAGTAGTAGTAG